TGATTTGTACTTAGTGCATCATCATATACATCATATAATTATATACAAATACATTTCAGTGCAAGCAATCAAAGCAATAATTTAAAAGAAAAAAAATAATGTTACTATTCAGTCATATTATGTTGTTAAGCCTCAGTTAAACGAGGATGAAAATATCAATAAATATGATAAGGTCCAATTTTTGTATCATCATTGAATATAATTTTTTATTGAACTTCTAATAGTCATAGCTATTTATATGACACTGCTAATTTTCATAGCTCATTCCTATTTTAACTTTGTTTTCATACTTGGATAACAAAATAGTATCTTTTAATATAAATGCTACAAATACTTGAATAACTTGGACATATGAGAACAAAATGAAATTCATCTTCCAGGTCTCTTACAGGACAACATTGACAACTACGTTCATTTCTTAATATTTTATTTCTAGCATATCTTCCAGTTTGCATTCTTAGGTAATGTGCAGAAGTTCTTAATCTAGTAATAAAGCGATGTCTTATGACCAAGCTTTAATTGATATTCTAACACTATCGGAGATTTCCCTTATATAAACAAAGAAGGACGGAAGCGTTATATATTTCACAGCATTTACAATCGCCCTTCTTATTGCCCCTTGTATTTGCGAACGGCGCCATATAGTTTGAATAATCTGATAAATAAAACCAAAATCTTGTGTTGATTCTGCTATAAAGACTGTCTAGAATGACAGAGAATGGTCTAAAAAATAAATGCGAACACCAATATCTTTAGTTCAGTGATTTACGCTGTACAGACATTTGAAGTATTGTTTACGGTACATCACAATGCAGCGCAAAACAGCAGGTACAAACCCGTCAAAACAGAATGCTATTTTAATTTTGCACAACAGTTAACTATAAATGTTTCACTTTAAAATATCTGTAAGTCGCTTAATAAATCATGTAATAAATTAAAATAAACAATAAAAACCTTATCAACTTTTTCAAAATTTGTTATTCTTAAAATATTTGAGCATACGATAGATTTTACGCTAGACTGTTCGACCGACTGGAACAGTCTTTAAATTCTTGTAGTAACTAGGAGGCAAAACAAATTTCACCACAACTAATTAAGTCCAACTATTTATTTTCTTGACGTGTTAGAAATGAAGTAGATCTTGATTTTGAATGATATGTGTTCTGCATACATGTATTTACAGCATTGTATGCAGATGTTTGTAATTAATCACTCAGGCTTACTAGAATATTAATCTGTAGTGATTGATTTATTTGCAAATTAACACACAATCAGTTAATATCTGTTAATTATAGAATAGCACGGTAACCTAAAGTGCATATACGGGTTTCAACATAATCATTGTCAATAATTACCTAAGCTTAATGCATTCACGTTAAGATAAGGTTACAATATCTCATTACAAACGCTAAGGAGCACTTCAACGACACACTAAGAATGCAAGTTTGACCATAAATTTTGTACAATATTATACTCCAAAAATAGATGATGATGGTGTTTCTAAATTACTGCATCCAAAATGACACAAATTCGAATTGCAAATATTGTATTTGAAAATAAGTGTTAGTTGCAATAAGTCTATAGAGAAATTTATACCTTATACTGACAATTATTTAATGTAATTGTATAGTACTTTGTAGTGTCTTTATTTTCCCATTTTCCTTCCTTTGTATGTTTTACCTTCTCATTATTTTCAAGTTGAATATTGTATAAAAGTGTATTTATCGTTTTGGTGGATTTTTGAATTTTATTGAGAAGGTATATTGTTCTTCAAGTTGTGTTTTGTTTTTAGTTTCTCAAGACAGTGTTGGTATATTTTTATAAGCATAAATTACTTTAAATTATTAAAAATTTATATTCTATAAATGTTTGCAAAATTATCATATTTAAAAAAGTCTTTTTTTCCTATAATCATAGAGATGTTCTATATAAAGTATGCCAATATCATATCATGTTTTATAGTGAACCATTTATTGTCAAGTTTAATGCTAGAATTATTTCATAACATGTCTTTAACATTATCTTAGTTTTTATTATGCTCATGCAAGACGACTGAACATCATTCATGAACGAATAATGAGGATATTAATTATCGATTTCTTTTTTGAAAGATTACATTGGAAGGTGAAATCATTACCATATTGCTTTATTATAATTTGTGTTTTACACAAAAGTTTCCATGAAACCTCATTTTCTTTGCATTTACCTTTTACCCAGACTTGCTTTCGCTGCATTAAGATAACAAGTAATGTCTATCATTTTAGCCCACCATTTTTATGTTCATTTTTGAAAGTTTGTGTTTCATTTTTTTCTAGTTTGCTTTCCTGCCCATAGAAAATGAAACACTGTCCTAGATATTTCTTCATATAATTATTGGATGGATTTGCTAATACTGAAAAGGTTATTTTAACTTTGGCAATGCAAAAGATTTTATCACCTGTACTTTTCCCGTCACAGTAAGTTTTCTGTGTTGCCCTTGTTTTAAGCAATTTAAAAATTCTTTAAGTTTAAGTTCTTAATTTATGTTTCAATTTTTTTTTGTAATCTGACAAAATTAAAATACCAATTGTTTTGCTGAATCAGATGTCCACTTAAATTTTCTTTTTTTACAATATTTTATATAAGTAATGTTATGTTGTATTTTTCTCATTTGATTCTTTCGAAATACTTTTCACAAACTTATTATTATTTTTTGATTTTGTTAGGAAAAGTTTTTTTAAAATTAAATTTAAATTTAGAAAATCTAAAATTTAAAAATTGGGCCCGCCCTACTGTTTATGCAATTTTTCGGGGTGTGAACATTTTTTGAAGTTTACGTCAAAAATATGGGCAAAATAAATTATTATCATTTAAATTTTTTCCCAAAACATTTATTTTTAAGATTTCTTTATCTGATTTAATTTGTTTGTTTAAAAGAAAAAAAATAGCAAGCGGCTAGTTTTTGACATCTAGTTTGTTTCTCAGTCTAAATCAACCATTTTAATAGGTCAAATCGATAATTTTTTAATTGATAGAATGCATTTTCATTGCTTAATACTTTCTTGTTTAAGGGCCGTATTTTTCATTGGTTTTTGTTTAAGTCATTCTTGCAGTAATAAAAAAGAGACACGACTTTTGAGAGAAGGATTCAGACAGTCAGACACTTAATGGTTTAACTGGTTCCACATTTGAGTGCAATTTAAAATATCTCTTTTCAAGGTGTTTTATGTGGCAAATATCACTTAAGCTACATCATTTTATCATGTTTTTCATTTTATCTCGACATTTTCTACTTGTTTGAGGTTTTCTATTTTTTGATTAATATTTGTATCAATCACTGTATTAATGTCGCCATTGGTTATAAAGTTCTTGCCATCGTGTTCAAGAATAAACTCTTCAAGCATAAATATTCAACATGGTAAAAGCTTTTTCATTTATTGTTATTTCAAGTGCTTTCTATATTCCTATTATTAGTTCTATTTTATTCAGAATGTTTATATTACAATTGTTATTATACGTAATGCATCACCTTCTTTACTTAATTTATTCCCACTTAAAAGACATATCTTTCCATATCTTTCCATTTATTTTTCCATGACCGTAATTGATTTGTTGAGTGGGTTTGTTGTAACATATAAACATAACAAGGTTGTAATTCAAGCCAATCAAAGAGTTGTTTCCGTTTTCAATTATTTCCTAACTCTCTAACATTTAATGCAGCTATTAAGTTTTCCATATCAAAAACATTACATGTGTGAGTACACAGCCACATAAAATCTTGAAATTGAAAGTGAGACACTTATAACATTCACATAAACCAAAAACAAAAGAAAAGGGAAACTGTTTTTCATTTAAAAAGGAAAAATGCAAATTGATCCATGCATTTATCTATTTCAGTGTGATTCGCGTTTACTGTAGACTTAATAAGTTTTTTAAGTTATGTATTGTTATAGAGTTATTGATGACTTTTACACTCTCACTCTTTACCTTATCTATAATTTTAGAAAATTTCACATATAAATGCACGCGCGCACACACGCACGCACGCGCACGCACACGCACACAAATATTTTTTACAAGTTATATAGAAATATACTAAGGTATTTGGCTTAAACCTCTTTTATTGTAGTTGAAAAGAGTAACATATATTTTCATTTCATTGTATCTTTGTTTGTTTGATTTTAATTTTTAATGATGAATCCAAAATAAAATAACAAACAAAAAAATCCAGATATTGTTCTTATACTTTGAAAGCGTACATAAACTTTTTATCTTTGTTATTTATATTGTTTATTTATGAATTAGTACATAAAGAAACAACACTTAATTAATCCTTAGTTTTACATAATCTATAAGATGAAGATGTGTCTTTTATGGATAAAATGTTCGAAACCATCCCCCCACAAAACATACAAAAGGAAAAGTTATGTCAAAGACAAAAGATAAGGTGTGTCTTAAACAAAAAACGGAAAGAAAACAAAAACACAAAAAAAGAAGAAAAAATTGACACGCAAAAGTGCAACTTTTGGCTTAGTCAAGGGCAATAACTCTGACAAAACAGAAGAAATCCACAAGCGAAACCCAAGCTACACAACTTCACATGCTGAGAAACATTCCTGTAAAGTTTCATGACTTTAGGTCAAGTACGTTTTAGCTACGTGCGACTCAACAAGAGAACGGACAGACGGCAAGGTTAAATCTAAATGCACCCGCACTATGGGTTGGCAATGATATTAAACTCTTTATTTAGTACAAACTGTGCATAGAAGCAAAAGCATAAAAGCATTATTATAATACTATACAGCAAAAACTATTTTATACATGTATATGCATATAGTTTCAAGACAACAGTGAAAATACAAATGTTTTTTGTTCGTACATTTTCATATTCCCTTTTTTTTTTACCTCAGTGATTTGAGAACGCATGTTTAATACCTTTCATACAACTAACATTATAATGCATTCAAAACACTAAAGTAACATTCCCTAACCTCTAACGCAAATAAAAATATTCTACTTCCTTTTCAAACTCAATTTTCACACTTTCATTCCTAAGTTCAATATGAATATTCTGCTGCAAAATTGGTCCAAAAGTTCCAATGTTCCAATTTTATTTCAAGTTTGTAAATTTGTTCGTACTTGTCTATTGCAATATAACTTTAATTACTGAAGACATCGACCTTAAACACGTGTATACTATAATTTCCCTTGTCAGAATTAAAAACTGCAAGTGTAGCTTTGTCTTTTGAAAAACATAAGTTGTAAGGCCTTATCACACCAACTGTATGAGACGCTATGACTAATCCATTAGGAGAAATCTGTACAATGCTTCCTAAATACATGCAACACACAAAGATACAATCAAATGGGCCTGCCGCCACGCCTTTTGGATATTTTATCTTGTCATTCTTTACAATAACACTTGTATTAGTTCCAATATCATATATGGTGACAGAGTCCTCTTTACTTTGACTAAGAACAAGTTTATTTCTATATGCTAGGTATGTACAAAACGTAAAACCCGCTTCAAATTTCCTGCGTGGGAACTTTAACTTTAAATCTTTTTCTTCTCCTGTCAGAGAAACAATACAGGCAGACTTGAGAGTTCTAAAATTTCCAACAACAAAATGTCTGTCATCCTTTAAACATATTGAGAAACATGGTAACTTTACTCCCAAGGTTTTACGTAAAGATATCTTGTTTGATTGACTAACATGTAGAAAAATTATCCTTCTCACATTTCCCATTGTTACAGCCACTTCATCCTCAGATATTACAACAATGCACATTGGATACTGTTCAAAAGCATACGTTCCTAACGTAACAAGTCCATCACTCAATACAAGAAATGTCTTGTGTTTATTATCCACAGCAACCAGCCTTCCATCAGGCAAATAATCAAGACCTGTAAATAGAATTGTTCTTTCACTTTCTTTGTTTATGGCTTGGCTGATCTGTTGCATTCGTACTGGCCTAGTTTCTGGAGCATCTACATGATATGATGGTACGGATGCGGGCTGTTGAAGAATTTGATCTGGAATGTTAAAAGATCCAAACTTTAAAGAAACAACGGATATATCTTTTAAGGATTTAAATGTGTTTCTGAATTTCTCCATTTGATATTGTGCAATCACTTTCTGGCGTGTTGTCCCACATTTTGTCATATTGATTAGTTGTAACCTTGCTTTTTTTGTTTTATCATAAAACTCTTCACATGACTTTCTTTTTGTCGATATTTGTTTCATTGTATTTCTTTTCGCCAATTCAGCCTTCTCTGTCACTTTACGTTTTTCATCATCGAACGCTTTTAATAAATCATTTTTAAGATCTTCTAACCTTGAAGCAATACTATCCACATCTTTATTCACTTCTGACTCAACAGACGACAACCATTCCGTAATGAGAAGTGATTCATTTTGAAGCCGAGATATTTCCATAACCGGATTAAAATTCAGCTCAAAAATACTATCAGAAATGGTAGTGACTGTTTCACATTGTTGATGATTATCTTTAAGGCATTTTTCACAGCAAAGTTCATTGTCTGACTCACAAATATATGCTAGATTTCTTTTATGTTCATGACATACATCACTACCCTTTGTATCTATTTGTGTTGTTTTACCTCTGACAATTCTTTGAGATCTATGACCTGGTTCGACTTTGTGAATATTTGTGTTGCATTTTAAACATAGAAACATGGAGCAATCTTCACAATAAAATGTAGAGGGTTTACTTATATCATCTTGAAAACATTTGTCGCAAGGAGAAAAGCTCTCAGAAGATTTGCAGGATGTAAAATCCTCTGAAATGTATCCTGTAAACATTTTTACAATTATTAGGAATTTTCTAATATTTCTTTTTAATTTTCAATCAATTAAATGCAGAGTAATGTTTTTTTAAATATACACAATACGCAACTGTCATCCTTAAATTTTAAAAGCAATATTTTTTTCTAGAATAATTTAGTTCAATATGTATTAAATTGATAATACTAATAAGAGAGAAGAGCCTGAAAACAACTCATTAAATAACTGGTGAGGTAAATAATTATGGTCAAATATTCAGCAATGAAAGATTCGCATTTAACTAATATATGCCTTTTGAGCCAGGCAAGGTTACTAGGCACAAGATTTGGTAATTACAGAGTTTTCGTTTTTTTACGTATATTTTGGATGGGGTTAAGAAGTTAAAATATGTGGAAAAAGTGATCCTCGGACGCATTAAAAACAGCAAAAATACATGAATATTCCTGAAGTTGTGTTCTGGTTCGAAAAGGTAAACTTCTTTTTCCAGGACATATCCTAAACAAAACTATAAGCCTTTTGTGGAGTTTATTTTGATTGAAAGGAAATATTAAACATCAAAAGAATGAAGTACGATATCTCACCAGTGTGTATGTTCTTCAACTCTGTTGAAAAACGTTCTTCCATATCTATAATACAAATTAATAATATTTAAAAAAAATAAAAGGTCAGTTTGGAACATTTAATTTGATAAATGTACTTGTATAATAGTGATTAACATAAGAAACAAGTTTTAATGTCTATTGACATCAAATTCAAATAATGTTTAAAACTGATTAAAATACTGTTCGTTTGAACGGTTTTGTTAGAATTCATCTTCCTTGGGATCCTTTCAAATGTACTACTGTTTTTTATAATGTTTCCTACAAAAGTTGCCAATGAATATGAAATAATAGTAGAAGTTCTTTACTCTTCTTTACAATTAAATGTTATTTTTATGTGTATCTTAAAATAAGCATTTGATAATGATTATAAACTGTTACAATACTTCATTATTATGATTTTATTTACCTGACAGTGAAACTTGGATTCTACTCTCAGATGCTTTTATTACTTGCTCAATGTCCTCTGACTGTTTTCCTAACATGCCTTCAAAATTTTGTATCAATTCGTCGTCATTTCTCAACTGTTTAACATACACCAAAGCTGCTGCTTCATCAAGTGGTTCCTTTGTGAGCTTTTGTATCAGTTGTGAGCATTCAGTCTGTTTTGTTACATCAAGACCTAATGCCAACTTTGTCAAAGCATGTTCCAGATTGATTTTAATGGTTTTATAATCTGTTTCCGTAAGGGTTGCAGTAGAATTATGCGAAAGTTTGTTTCTGGTATCCTTTATAACCCTTACGTACTGTTTGTCCATTTTTGTAAGACTCAGTACATCCAATAATACAACAGTTAACAGGGACAGGTCAAGATCTTTGATGTCTGGTGTTCCACTTTTAGGAAACAATAAAACATATTGACACCTTAAAAGTTTCTTCTTTAGTTTTTGTTCATGCGATTTCAAAATCACATCTAGCCTAGAACCAGCCATTTCTCTATCTGTGACGCCTCTACAGATTAACATTCCACACTGTAAAAGGACAAACAGAAGCCGCGCGAAGTATTCTGTTTGTACATTCATCACCTTTAATAGATGTAAATAATAATAATAATAATAATAATAACAACAACAATAATAACAACAACAACAACATCAATAATAATATAAACAACAACAACAAGAGGGCCACGATGGCCCTAAGTCGCTCATCAGAAACAACTGTTTTTCAGTGTTAGAAATTATTTTTCAAATGAACTCATCTGACCAAACATTTCGTTGACCATATAAATTGAAATATTTTGTCCTAATATTTTGGAAAGGCTTTGTTAAAAATATCTATGTTGCAAATGTGTTCCTATGAGACTATGTAGAATAAAATAATGCAGAATAAATGACCACTACAGCATGGTTAATTTTGGTGGGACATACTTTTTATTACTTTTGTGAATGAATACATAAAATGTCACATGCAAAATATGTAAGGTATAGATGTTTGAAATTTACATTTTACAAATTTTTTATACATTCTATATGGTAACATGACTGTACCTAAAAATGACAATAGGTCAAACATTGTAAAATATATCAAAAGAAGGCCAACTGATATTAACATTCAATTCAGCATCAGAAATTACACCCAAATTTCATGTATGTACGTAAAAACGCAATAAAGTAGGTCAAATGATATCAAAAATATCATAAGTAGGTCAGCTTCCATCAAAATTCATTTCAGAATCAAAAATTACACCCCTGTTCTATATTTCAAGTCTGTACGCCACAAAACAAGAAAGCAGGTCATGTGGTATCAAAAGTATCAGAGGTAGGTCATCTGATATCAAAAATCAATTTGGCATCAACAATTACACCCCTAATTCAAATTGCAAGTTTGTATGTAAAAAACACAAGAAAGTTGGTCAAATGATATAAAACATTTCAAAAGTAGATCAGATTATATCAAAATTTGTTTCGACATCAGAAATAACATCCTTGGTCCAAATTCAATGTATGTATGTCAAAAAACAAAAACGTAGGTTTGTGATATCAAAAGTAGATCACATCATATCAAAATATCATTCGACATCAGAAAATCATGCTTGGAACAAATTCAATGTCTGTATGTCAAAAATGAAAAAGGAGGTCAAGCGATATCAAAAATATGTCAGCTGATATTAAAATTCAATTTGGCATCATAAATTACACCCTAGTCCAAATTTAAAGTATGTCTATCAAAAAACATGAAAATAGGTCAAATGGTGTCGACAATATCAAAAGTAGGTCAGCTGATATCAAAATTCAATTCAACGTAAAAAATTACACACCCTGGTCCAAATTATAAGTCAAGTTACATGTCAAGCGATATCTAAAATGTCAAAAATAGGCCAGTTGATATCAAAATTCAATAACAGCTCAAATGATACAGAAGTCAATTATGCACATGAAACATCAGGTTCAACAGTGAACAAAATTTATTGAAATGTTCTTTCTCCAAGTATGAATCCAATTCATCAAAGATTGAAAAAGCTACAACAATTTTTAACAAATTCAATATAAAATTTAGCATACAAACTAATTTGTGTTAGTCAGGTACAGGAAAGAAATATAATATTTCTTTAGGCCTAATTTCCTGGGGAAAATGCCCTACATTCACCTACAAATGACCCTGCATGATGCAATTCAAGAGCTGAAATATTTTTTATTATTTTATTGCTTAACAAGATTGTGTTTATGACATAACACTAAATTATAGTATCAGAAATATATTTATATCATACAATTGAACTTTGCCATAGGGTATGGCTAGTGATTTTCGGGGTCAGTGTCTTATTTTAGCATGTCGAATGAAAAACAATGTGCAGATATGTTTACTGTTCAGATACAAAGCACATAGTGTAATGATTTATGCAATGTAAAAGTATTCTTACTGACAAAAAATAAGATGTTAAAAATATATATTTACTGTATTACATAGCTGTATACTATCTTTTCAATGAAGTTCTACTTATTTCTGAAAACATTTACAATTTTAAATCATCATCATTAAGTTTTTAACGTTACAAGATGTTGTTAATCATTATATCCTTATAATGTGTTTAAGTTATTTCATAAATATCATATATCTTGCCAGAGGTAATGATCTCGAATAATTTCAGCAAACAGGTCATTACTCCCAGCTTTTGGATGCTCACATGTATGAAAGACATTCCATTATAAATTGTTTTCCTTCCCTTTCATTAAAGTTATACGATCGTACTACTCGTATGCTTGAATATATTTATAATTGCTACACAGTCTCTTTGTAAATATAAAATAAAAATGTTTTAACTTCACACAAAGTAGAAAGGGTATGTTTTAAATGCTGCACACTATAGGTGGTTATAATATGAATATTAAAAAACTGGCAGCTTTTTTAAGAAAAGGCGAATTTTACTTGATCTGTAATAGGGTACACAGCTTTTAATAGATACTTTATTGATTCTTTTATTCAAATTGGACATATTCGATAAAATAACACAGATTTCAATAAATTTCTGTCATAAAAAAAATTTACGCAAGGATGAGCAAAGTATATCTTTAAACTATAATTTGAAGAAATGCCATGGCCTGGGGCATTTTAGTTTTTAGCGGCCACTATAGGGGACAAATCAAATTAATATAAGTAAATTTTTTAAAAGACTTCATAACAATGCTACAGACAAAATTTGGTAATGATCTATCATTTTCTTCAGTACAATATTATGTTTAAACGTTTTCCTATTTTTAGCTCTAGAGGCCCATTAAAGGGACCAATCAAATTAATATGAGCATATTTGATAAAACTACATAAGAATGATACAGACAAAATTTGATGATCATCAACCAATTATTTCAGTACAAGATGATATTCAATATTTTTTTTTCTATTTTTAACTCTATAGGCTCCTAAAGGGGGCCGATCAAATTAATTTGAGCAAACTTGATAAAAAGACTTCCTAAGAATGCTACAGACAAAATTTGGTGATCATCCATCAATTAATTCTGTAGTGGTATTCCTATTTTTTAGCTTCAGCAGCCCCTTAAAGGGTCTAATCAAATTAATCTGAGAAAACTTGGAAAAAGACTACCTAACAATGCTACAGACAAAGTTTGGTAATCTTCCATCAATAAGTTCTGTAGAAGCAGACATTTTAAAGTATTTCTATTTTTAGCTTTAGCGGCCCCTGAACGGGGGCATTCAAATTGATATATCGATCAAACTTGATAAAAGACTACCTAAGAATGTTACCGACAAAGTTTGGTGATTATCTATCAATTATGTCAGTAGAAGATGATTTTCAAAGGTTTTTCTATTTTTTTTGTTTTAGCGGCCCCTAAAAGGGACCAATCAAATTGATATGAACAAACTTGATAAAAGACTACCTAAGAATGCTACAGACAAAATTTGGTGATATCCATCAGTTAATTCTGTAGAAGGATACGTTTAAAGATATTTCTATTTTTAGCTTTAGTGACCCCAAAAAGGGGCCAATCAAATTAATATGAGCAAACTGGATGGAAGATTACCTAAGAATGCTACTGATAAAGTTTGGTGATCATCCATCAATTAGTTCTGTAGAAGATGTCTAAAGTTTGTTTTTCTATTTTTAGCTCTACAGTAGCAACCCCTAAAAGGCGCCAATAAAATTAAAATGAGAAAATCTGATAAAAGACTACCTAAGAATGCTACAGACAAATTTCCGTGATCATCTATCATTTAATTTAGTAGTTAAAGCTGTTTTAAGGTGTTTCTATTTTTAGCTCTGTTGACCCCTAAAAGGGACAAATTGAAATGACATGAGCAATTTTAAGTGTTGACTGTAACAAGGATACTACAGACAAAATTTGGGGTAATAGCTCACCCTGAACATTCAATTCTGGTGAGCTTATAATAATAATAATACGAATAATTATGAAATAAATAAATTTATTTTCATTATAATTTTAAATTGCTGTCAAGAGAAATACCTGCTTTGATGTTATTTTATATTATAAATGGTTTGGTAATAGCACTAAACCAGATCCCAAGAACTGGAGGCAGAGCAGCACCACCTGACTTTTATAACTTGAGTATTCTCTGTTCCATAGCTAGCTGGATAAAATATTCTCTAGGCTTAGCTAAAATACAAAACGTAGGTTTTAATGTAAAAAACAAGAACGTGTTTGTTAAACACAAATGCCCCCGGCTCCGATTCTTGTCAGTAGCAATATTTCAAAAAATGTTTACCCATTCACTCAGTTATGGACAGAAACATTGCCAAAAAATTGTAAACACAAGTTATATAGCTTGACAGAGTCATGGCATTTTGTAATTGTGAAATATATAAGTTGCCAAGTCATTGCTATGACTTGTGAAGTGATAAATATTCAACTTTATCAAATATATATAAATGTAAGAAATCTATACTTGGCACCCTTGACATTGACCCACTGACACCTATAGAATATTATGCAAGTTATCTTCCTACCAAATATGAAATACTCCTGTCAATAAATAAAGGCTGTATGGGCAAAAATGTTAAAATCTATTTTGAGTATTGATGACATTGACCAAACTGACCCCTAACTCCATCCAAAGGAAGAATACCATGCAAGTTATCTTCCAACCAAATAAAGTGATTCGGTCGCATTGGCCTAATTTCCTTTTCTCTCTATTCAGGTCATTTTTTTTGCCAAAGACTGCCAAATTTAACAAACATAGGTTTTAAGCCCCTAATGTTATTGTTTAAATGTAGGAGTTTTCACTGTGACCCGAGGGATCACTTTGTTTCCAGATTTTTATGCTTCACAACAGCAGGTGTCAAGTGCTGTGTGGCAGCTGTAAAAAGTTGCCCCTTACTTCACTTCAGTGTTGTTATATATTTTTCTGGTCATTCAGGATCATTGATGCCAGCACTATTAAGTGTTAAGAATTGAGTACCGCTCAAGCCGGTGCTAGGGGACGTGAGGGATGTTGCACTTACTCAATATTCCTCGTGTACAGACTCAATCAAACTGAGTCTGCAATGTTCACAAGTAATTTTGTCATGATTAATGCTTCTGAGCGATCACTTTGTTTCCAGATTTTTTAA